TAGCTTAACACCCAAGGCAAATCTCCAGGACAATATACCAATGTTCATACGCCCTCGTTGTCACCGTTTTGAAGTCTTACTTAATGTTTTAATTGCTGTTGGCGCAACTCTGGGACGTCTCAGGGAGACCTGGTTCAGGACCACAAACATCCTAAAGTTGGGCAACAGTTCGTGCTGTCTCTGTACTGTCAAGAGCATAAGGGCACACCATTAGTTATATCCCACCATACATATGTACATATGTTGCTTATCAAATACACAGCGGGCTGGCTATTTGTGACGGTATTACGCGTATATTTTGGACATCACTATTGCCACAAAAACGTCCGTGTATTGGGAAATAATTGTATATTTATTTATTTTGCAATTAAAAAGGACAGTAACAAGGGATATTCACATTGGTGCCTCTATCTCAGAAATCCAAATACAATACAATAGACATAGGTTGATCTATAGGCCAATGTGCACAATTATTCTTGGCGAAACCCTCATTGATACCAAGGTGAAAGTTTGTATTAATCATTTTGGTATAATAAACATGTTGATCGAGTTTGGCCCTTGCTTCTATTTCGTTATGCATTTGTTCAAATGAGGTTAGTTTCAAGAACATAAACAAGCATAGATGAACCGTTTTATATATCGTTCCAAACTTTGTATACCTATCGGCCAAGTTCAGGCAAGTTGTTTGCTTTTCGAAGATCAAACGAGTTTCTTTTCATTATTTCTCCATGAAATTTTGCAAGTGTAATACGCTAGTTAGGAGTGGTGGCCATCCTGCCACAGATAATTAATTTTATGTATTTACAATTGTAAGCATGCAAGGGTGGCGAGGATATGATGATCCTGTCGCCTTGTTATCTACGGTTTGTCATTGTATTATCCGTGCTCGAGTGTTTAACATAACCGGGACATGTCTTTGACCAGTACTACTTTAGACTTTCCTCGTCATGATATAACCGAAATACTGCTCAAAGCGGAATTAAAAAGACTCCACCTTCACATAAACAACAGCATAATGGGACAAGTTCAAGAACCGACTAACACTCTTTTATCGCCGTTACATTACAGAGGTAACACATGGGTTAAGGATCCAACAGACACTCACTAATCACCGTTACATTACAGTGGTGACACATGGGGTTAAGGATTCCACTAACACTCACTAATCACATTACAGTGATGACACATGGGGTTCAAGAACCTACCAACACTCACTAATCACCGTTACATTGCAGTAATGACACATGGGGTTCAAGAACCTACCAACACTCACTTATCACCGTTACATTGCAGTGATGACACATGGGGTTCAAGAACCTACCAACACTCACTAATCACCGTTACATTGCAGTGATGACACATGGGGTTCAAGAACCTACCAACACTCACTAATCACCGTTACATTGCAGTGATGACACATGGGGTTCAAGAACCTACCAACACTCACTTATCACCGTTACATTACAGTGATGACACATGGGGTTCAAGGAACTACCAACACTCACTAATCACCGTTACATTACAGTGATGACACATGGGGTTCAAGAACCTACCAAAACTCACTAATCACCGTTACATTACAGTGATGACACATGGGGTTCAAGAACCTACCAACACTCACTAATCACCGTTACATTACAGTGATGACACATGGGGTTCAAGAACCTACCAACACTCACTAATCACCGTTACATTACAGTGATGACACATGGGGTTCAAGAACCTACCAACACTCACTAATCATCTTTCCATTACAGTAATGACACATGGGGTTCAAGAACCTACCAACACTCACTAATCACCGTTACATAACAGTGATGACACACGGGGTTCAAGAACCTACCAACACTTTGTCATCACCTTTACATTACAGTGGTCACACCCGGGGTTTAAGAACCTACCAACACTCACTAATCACCGTTACATTGCAGTGATGACACATGGGGTTCAAGAACCTACCAACACTCACTAATCACCGTTACATTACAGTGATGACACATGGGGTTTAAGGAACTACCAACACTCACTAATCATCTTTACATTACAGTGATGACAAATGGGGTTCAAAAACCTACCAACACTCACTAATCATCGTTACATTACAGGGATGACAAATGGGGTTCAAGGAACTACCAAAACTCACTAATCACCGTTACATTACAGTGATGACAAATGGGGTTCAAAAACCTACCAACACTCACTAATCATCGTTACATTACAGTGATGACAAATGGGGTTCAAGGAACTACCAACACTCACTAATCACCGTTACATTACAGTGATGACAAATGGGGTTTAAGGAACTACCAACTCTCACTAATCATCTTTACATTTCAGTGATGACAAATGGAGTTCAAGGGACTACCAACACTCACTAATCACCATTACATAACAGTGATGACAAATGGGGTTCAAGAACCTACCAACACTCACTAATCATCTTTACGTTACAGTGATGACAAATGGGGTTCAAAAACCTACCAACACTCACTAATCATCGTTACATTACAGTGATGGCACATGGGGTTCAAGGAACTACCAACACTCACTAATCACCGTTACATTACAGTGATGACAAATGGGGTTAAAAAAACTACCAACACTCACTAATCATCGTTACATTACAGTGATGACACATGGGGTTCAAGGAACTACCAACACTCGTCTTACTCGATTTCAAATTTAAAAACTAATTAGAAATCCTTCGACTTTGCGTTCAGTCGCTTGAGTTGAAAACCAATGTAGTTTCTACACGAATATTTGAAAGTACTTTTGCCATTTGATTGAAAAACAATAATGAAAATATTTGTATCAGCTTAATCATTGGAATAATTTCAGCGCAAATTCGACAAGTTATTGCTGTGGCCACAGCAGCGCCGACAGGTGTTGATTTTGTAAAACGTTCTTTGTTGGTCTATCGATTTGTACGATACTCCACTCATATTTCAGCACAGAAAAGTAGGCATGAAATGGCAAGGTTGGAAACCTGACTTTCATATAGGCTAGTGGACACACTTGCCTCGGGAAGATGAACTATTATTTGCAGATACGTTATGTTTTTATCTTACTTTGGATTATCTCAAAGGGCAGTGTATGTTGTTCAGCATGGAGTCGGGCGAGGGACGGTACTGTTAGCTATCGATTCTATATGTATGTGATTCACTGTGGCGATTAACAATATTTCGGACGTGAGGTCTGTGATCTTCGGAATGTTGAAATGTTGATTCGAAACACACAGTTTAACAGGGGCGGTCGGGTAGCCTAGTGGTTAAAGCGTTCGCTCGTCCCCCGAAGACCCGGGTTCGATTCCCGACATGGGTACAATGTGTGAAGCCCATTTCTGGTGTCCCCCGCCGTGATGTTGCTGGAATATTGCTAAAAGCGGCGTAAAATCATACTCACTCACTCACTCACAGTTTAACAAAATGAAAGGGCAGTGTCTGAAAACAAATACAATTATAATTTATGTGAAACACACTCCACCTTACAAGTCATCAATGATCATCATGTTGATTTAGGGTTCTCCAACGATCTCAGCTACTTAAGATTGTTCCAGCTAAATTGTAAATTTCGATTGTAGCTTACAATAGGTTTGTGCGAGTGTTCCTACTTTTATGAAACCAACAGATGTGAGTGTGCCGCTGACAAACACATGCATGCTCCACATGCTCCAGTAGGATAATTAAACAGTGCCCTTGAAAGGTGGAACTACTACTTCTACTACTACTACTACTACTACTACTACTACTACTACTACTACTACTACTACCACCATCACTACAACTACCACTCTACTACTACTGCTACTACTACTACTACTACTACAACTACCACCATCACTACAACTACCACTCTACTACTACTACTGCTATTACTACTACTACTACTACTACTACTACTACTACTACTACCACTACCAGTAATTATAATAAACCGACAGATTCATTTCTATAACCAAAAAAAATCGCTACTAAAAAGTCCGTTGCATGATTTCGATTTAACTGAGGGGCAAAAAAACCGTGCCAAGTTATATTTGTTTGTTATTGAAAATTAAATAAAAACACCTGTTAAATTTGATCATGTCTATTAGCATCAGTCATTCCTGCGACAGTTTGTAAAAAGTAATCTGTGGCTGTGTAGTGTAGTGTAAAAGCATGTAATGAAGACTAAGGATTTAATAAATTTGCAACACCATGACCCCTGCCATGTTTGAAATGTTGTACATATGTGCCGATGAATTTTTTTTTACTAATTTTCAAAGATAAGATTTCAAAGATACTCATCAGCAGTTGTGTATTATGCGATTTTTTTCTCATTTTTTAAAGAAAAAGTTTTACATGAACTTATATTAAAAAAGATAAAACCTAGTGGAACTAGTCTTTGAGTGCTGACTAAGCGCCCGTACAGTTAAATTTTTGGATTTAATATCACTAGCGTAAGGTACTTTCAATTGAAAATCAAACATATTAAATCAACTGAGAGGTTTAGTTTTTTTCTCCCCAGTTTAAATCATAAGCATGTGTTTAAGAACCTCTGTCAGGTAGTGGTGATACGAGGTGTTCGCGAAAACCACATTATCATTACCAGTGATTCTCCAGGTTGTGGTTTGATATATTCACTTATAAATTGTTCAGAGCTCCATTTCCATAATGCGTGATGCTTCATATTTCAAGACCTCGAAATATGCCCGCAAGCATCTCAATATCAGTACATTTCGTCGAAGAAGTCTAATTGTCTAGACAAAGAAATCATACACATATTTAAAAAAAAAGTAAAGACGCCCACAATTAATTGAAAAAGTGTCACCTGATTGTAAAGGGCGCCGATATGACATCCATCAAAAACCACATCGTTTGATGTCAAGGTCCAGATTGGCCCACTAATGTAGATAGACAGAAACACTCGCAACGTTAAATGACAAGGCAGATGACGAAGACAAAAAGAGGAGGTCGTAGATATGGTCCTTGTCGCCGCGGGCTGCATACAACGTTGTACCTAAATCATTCCCTGCTCGCTGCAAGACAACATAGGCTAACACCTTGAAACATCGTGACTGAAGACGAAGGACTTGGTTGGAAGACGGTTGCCAGCGACATTTTCAGCACTTCGGGCACTGGAGCCGAACACTCTTCAGCTCGTCCACTTTTGTTAGTGTGTAATTGTGAAATGTGAAGCATGAATATACAGAACTTAAGTGTAGTTTGTCTCTGCCTGTGTTTGAAAGTCGTTGCGAGTCGAATGAGGCTGAACAATCATGGATATGAAAGAGTTATTATATCGATCGGAAATCACGTGAGGGAGGACCCTTTGTTGATAAAGCGCTTACAGGTAAATTCATTTATTTTTTCATTTGTTAGAACTGTCTTCATGTCAGGGTGTGCCCATTGAGATGGATGGATACAATGGTTGTCCGGGATCATTATCCACACGCAAATCGACCTTTGATGAAAATTGAGAGTTAAGTAAATTGCACTGCCACCTCTTTTGTCCGGAAACCCGTTAATCCGGACACTTACATAACGTTTTCACATTGTCTTTATTCCATAGCAATGATTCATATATCCACAATCCGGACATATGTCAATCGAAACAATTTCACTTGTCACGGTGCCTGTCGGATTGACAGGGTTTTGTTTAATAGTAATGTTTTATTCAATGTCTAAAGCTGCACAGGCCAGACATTCTTGAGGATGATGAACAAAGGTCACCTTGCTTGTGAGTGCTATTATTGTTCAACCGCCTCAAGACAACTCACCATACTTTGTATTACCGCATAGACGAACACTCTGGGGAGTATGTAGGCTATGACTGAAGGCTGACAGTTTATCGGGGAGTAAAACTGCATTTAATGTTATACTGAGGCATTTGATATAACTACGAATGCAGTAATAAGAAGGTGAGCAGATATATGTAACGCAGCACAAAAATGTCAGAATTAAATAAAGAATAATTCAAATGAAAATAACGAAAATTTATTTCCCTCCACTAATTATTTTGAAATAACACCTTCAGATACGAGCATAGCATATGTGGAAAGATGTGTACATTAAGATACACAATAATATAATCTCAGATACACATAGACTTCAAATCCCGTGAACATTCCTGTTTAGATATGATCTTTAGCAACCAATGCTTGTCGAAAGAGGCGACTTGGTTGATGCATGTCATCGTATCCCAATTGCGTGGATCGATACTTCTGATGTCAATCACTGGATTGTCTGGTCCAGACTCGATTATTCACAGACCGCCGTCATATAGCTGGAATATTGCTGAGGGCGGCGTTAAACAACAAACCAAACCTACGAACTTCAGTGAGTGATATATTTTCAATACAACATACATGAAATTAAAATACTTGATATCTAAAATAGTACCATCTGAATCAGGAAATAATTAATCAGTATCTCGTAAATCCTCATCTGGATTTATTAAAAGAAGAAGAAAGGTTTGTGTATGTGAAAGGTTTGTAAAACCTTTTAAAAAAACCAGGTCAAATGAAAAAGATCATGGTCGCCAACAATAAGAGTGAGTGAGTCTGGTTTTACGCCGCTTTTAGCAATATTCCTGCAATATCAAGGCGGGGGACACCAGAAATGGGCTTCAGTTTTCCTGATTTTTAAAACGTCCACTTGGCAGTATAAATTGACAACGATGTCTTTGCGCAGGCGTTTAATAATATAGTTTATCTCAAATTCAAAAGTGTATATTATTTGGTATTACTAAATTATAAGATGGCATATGACTGGATGTCACATACAATATGTCCTACCTTTGATCAGAATCTAGCTTCTAGTAAACAGTTTACCCTGAAAACACTTAGTTTTAAAAAGAATTAGATGTTGAAGCCCTCTTATACATTAATAATACATTTATATAATTTGTATACGTACATGTAACCACTCTGTCTCTTTGTCAATGACTAGTTCTATTGTTTGGGCACGCGTTTCTTGACACGTGACGACATTTTCATAAATAAAATTATCATGAAAGGCTGAACATTTGAATAAACCATTTGAAATCAAATATGTAACGATGTGTTTGGATAGAGACTAATTCGGACATGATACTGAAAGTAATTGTGAAGAAAATTTGAGAGGCAACGACCCCGTGGAAATTCGGGGATGCATTTGATCCCCTAGGAACCTTGCTGGCGTAAGAGGCGATTTTTGATGCTCATGCTTTCAGACATTGGTTTTTATATAGACTCGATTTTTTACAGGTTGCCGCAATATAGTTTGGTTACTGCGACGAAAAGTAACATTCACATACTGACTGACTGACTCACTCATCTACTCACTGGAGATATAGAGCTTATTTTACTCACATGTGTGTCATACTGATTTTACGAAACGAGTGTCAGAATTCTTGTATTTCCCGAGCGAGAGTGAGGGTAATACATGAATTCTTACACGAGCTCCGCCAAATCAGTATGACACACATGTGAGTGTAATAATTTCCTTATTACCCATTATTTCTTAAAGCCTCGAGGTCCCCTTTAGAAAAATGCACTGATCACCACCGCTGTCCCAGAAAACCACGATTTGTCGAATGAAGTTAAAAACCTTACGTCACAATAAGATTCGAATGACATCAACATACTTGCACTAGTTCACACACGAATTATACTCGGTTATTTCCAACTCTATGGGTAATAAACAACTATATCATCAATAACACATATAACGACGAATGTTTCGAAACGAATACCAGATTTTAGACGTAATTAAGTAAAGGTAACGAATCACAGTGTGTGTTCAATCCTGTCAATTGTTTCAATCCAAAACCATACGAGACGTCGACGTTCAAATCCACCCAGTCGGCCCCAAAGCCTCCAAACTCTATCGGCAAACGTGTTCTTCTTGTTCGAGTAATTTACCGATAATAACTCATCAAATACGTCCATACTTTCATGTACAAGCTTTGTCTCTGATACGGTGACATCTCAAATATACAGGCATCCGTAAATGATAAACCTACATGAAGGGACATCAAAGACAGGACTGGTATCCCAACCATGGTCAATATCAACAGGAGTCGCAATATGGCTGACATAATGCCGATGTGACGTTAAATTTTAACTTACACACTCATGATCAATATCATCATGAACTAGAACTTGTCATCCCTGCTCGTATAAATAACATCCCAGGCAAAATAACCTGCCAAAAAATGGTGTCTAAAATGAAATAAACAAGAAATGGTTATTCGATGGTGATGTATTTGATATGGTAATCATAGATGTGTTTTGGGCCTCTTCAGTTTTCAGCCTTGTAACATTTTCTGAACGTTTTGTAGGTTTTTGGTCAGATCAAAATTTCTTTTCTCCGTCAGTTTATATTCCCGTCATGTTCAAAGCACAATGAAAAACAGCGCGATTGCCACAATAATAATATGGACTGGTTGTCTGTATAATATCATATATAAATGTGAGCTGTTGGACACCCAGCTTTACATTGCACACCAACTTTTCTCTGGTGTGTTTTGCCTTGCTTTATTAATGGCTTTATGTTTGGTTGTTGATGGACGCATGACGTCAGTAACACTCCTAGCTGTCAACACGAACTAGTGTGTCAAGTGGTGAGGTGAAATGCGGTTACACGTCGCGCCTAGGATTATTTCACTTATATAGCACGCACGTGTGTGTCTGGCTGCTTGTACTAGTCCAGATTGATGCCGATTTAAAGTGCTAACCCACCATGCCGTAGTTTAACATGAATATCCCACTTAGACACAGTGTACTTGTCCTTGTTGCCCTGCCAGGCAGGGTAACAACAAGTACCATCTTTAAACGTATTTTGGTACGACGCGGCCGGGGATCGAACCCCGGACCTTTCGGTCTCCGGACAGACGCTGTATCAATAGACCACGGAGGCGGTCGTGTGTCAAGTGGAGGTTGATCAGAAACACTCACGAACAATGTACCATGATGATCCTTCCAGATAAGTCTGTAACACTGTAAATTAACTGATTGAACGCACACCTTATTTTCTTAAAATGTCCTAATTATCGTCCAAGTAAAGCTTCATTGCATAACAATATATTATCTGCTTGAAGTCATTTTGCGATCCAGACAGGTATTTCTTGCTAGTTAATACTTAAGATCTTTATATTTAAAGGCGTACAAAATTAATTTTATCAATAAAAAAATTTAATCAACATTGTTATTTGCTCTAATTTGTAGTACTATTCATAGACATCCCGTATTTTACATTTGCATGGAATATGCATGGAATGACACCCTGAATAATACTCCACCACAGGCATTCGACAGGCATACTACACCAAGTTCATTATGTAAATTGGTGATCTTAAACACTACACAGAAGTTTATAAACGTGTTTGAATTTTAATGTTGAATGTTTTAATGTTAACGATGACGTATACCGCTTTTAAAATATTGATTTAAATTGAAAGCCCGCCATGAAATAGTTTAATATTGCTGACGAGTACCAGTTACCCTATTCATTCATCATTGTAAGCAGTGTTCGCGATTCGCTGTGCAGAGTTGCGTCCCTTGGGCACGCCAGGAACCTATGATTGTGGGTTCGAATCCCGGTTCGCCCGAACTATGTTTCTAGGTTTATCAGCACCATACCAGTGCTCGTGGGTTTCACCGAAGTGGTAAACGTCTGAGACCTGATTCACTTCACGGCATTCCTCCCACATTAAGCTGACACGCTTTGATATAACTGAAATAATGTTAAAAGCGGCGTTAAACACAACTCACTCACTCACTCACTCATATGTCCAGGACAACAACTTCTATGTCACCTGTCACCCTCAACTAACTGTTGACCAACGAGACAGGCATGCTTATTACTCCCAGCTGACCTCAATGAAAGTGTGACTGACCTTACACATTGCCGAAGCTTACACGATAGTCAATGAAACATTTTTAATGTTCTTGGTCTATGAGATGCCCATTACACACGCCAACTCAGACAAAACACACCTCTGCTCACATTAAAAACAATTACACACACACTTCCTCACACGTCACATACATTTATTCAACAGATACCATCTCGGACAACCCACATCTGTTCTCGCACAAAGCACACCTATTCACGCAACAGACACATGACACCTGAAACAACAAGAACATATACTCACACATACACATAAACACACTTATACTCATACAAAACAAACACTTCCATGTCACACACATATTTACCCACACAACACACACACCTCATCAACTCACACAATACATACAACTACGCTCACAACACACACACACACACACAATCTACGCTCAAAACACACACACACACACACACACACACACACACACACACACACACACACACACTAACACTAAC